CTCTATGCGATGTGAAGAGGTAGTGGGTAGTTGCAAAGGGAAGGCTGTTCCGGTGCTGGATAGTCATAGTACTTGGTGGTGTAGTAGCATGTGGTACTGAGATGCACCTTCAATAGGCGTTTTTAGGTAGTATTTGAGAAGGCTGTCCTGTCCCACGTGTGGAGCTGCTCCCTTCTGTGTTGATCTGCCGTATGATCGAACTAAGGTGTCTGTAAGATCCACGCTTTTGTCTCCTGGTTTTTAGATGTTCAAAAGTATCTTTAGTATTAAAAATTGAAAATAGATTTGAACGTAAATAACACTTCACATATGAAGTGAGGTACGTAGACAATTATTTTAATCTTACTGGTTTTACTCTGCTTCCATAATTGCATAGTCAAACATTTATGCAACTGTTGAACTCCATGATAAAATACAAACACAAGGCCACGCCCGGGTACCTGCTGTCGATGGCCTGCAATCTCCAGTATGCTGTGGTCTTGTAAACACCATAGCCCTTCCAAATAAAGGGGTTATAACAACTTTGGTATTTGAAAAACAATTCTAAATTAATCCAAACACCGGTTATCAGTAACAGGGGAAATGTGGTATTGAGCAATGTATGATTGTCCTTAACGCAGAAATGAGAATACCGATTCATTTTCCCTATTTGAAACTGAGAATTGACAAAAGGATTTTTAATCAAATGAAAATAATTTGCCAGTAAGTAGCATTATTCAGTAAATAAAAGGCATGTGAATATACAGGCTTATAATGTTGCAGTGGAATCTTAATAATAGTTCTTATGAGAGCTAGAATCTGTTTGGTTTTTTGGTTGGTTTTGTGGGGCTTTTTAAATAAACTAAATTTTATTTTAAGGTGTTCTAACACTTCTCTGTACTGTATGAGATTCAGAAAGTAAAACTGGTCAGTTCCTTATCAGTGTCTCGGAGCCTGTTTAACTTTGTCACACTTCTCATAGAGAATGTATTTATAACAGGTAAACATAAATTGTACACAGTAGAGAAACATGGTTTAGAGTTATTTTGGTAGACTTTTGTTTTTCTTTGTGCATTTAATAGCATTTTGGGCTTGATGCAGAGGTTACTGAAGTCAGTATGAGCTCTTACACTTATTCCCATATTCTTGGATTGCACTCTTACAAGTGTTTGTCTTCACTGCATTTTCGTATCTGGCTTGGTTTTTTTTAGAGAAGTCCCAAAATTTGAAAGATGCATGGGGAAAAAAACAGTTGCAGTTGCAGGGTTTTTAAAATACTTACTACATTTTAAGCTGATGCCACTTACTTTTCTTTTTAATTTCAACATTTAATTTTTGCTTTGAACAGCACAAGTGATTATACAATATTGAAAATCAAAATATGAACTCCTTATTGATTATATATGAGAGGTAGTATGTACTTTTATGACTACCTTCAGCATTATACTTGAAGATCAGATACCACAATGTTTTCTCCATTTCATGTGCTATGTATAACACTTTCTCTGAACATATCCAAACTACAAACATCACATCTCAAGAGAGCCCCGTGAAATAAGAAAACATTTCTATTACAAATGGGGAAACCAATGCAGCAAGGTCACGTGCAAGGTTGATAACAGAGTGGGGAATGAAAGACTGATTGAAATTCTTATTGCAGTCTTTTAACCTTTAGTTACACTCCTCCTGTGCTCCTTTAATTATGTAACTTGACAAAATTAAGGGGTGGAGGACAAGAAAAGGAATTAATCTATTTACTGTCTGCCTAGACTCTTAAGTATTATTTTGAAATAAATATCTGGACTATATCCTTTTACTTCATCAAGTAATTTTTGTCCCTTTGGAGTTGCTCAAGCCAATGTTAAATGCAGTATTAAGTTTTAATCTGTGCTGTTTGAAAGTATTTAGTAGCTCATTCACTTTTTAAAAGTACGTTTATACTGTAGTTGTGTCTGCCTCTGTATCTCTGAGGCGGTTAGATCTTTATTATGGGTTTTGGCAGTTGCCAGGGGAAAAAAAAAAAAACAAAAACAAAACAAAACACACCCCTCCCCAACCCTTAAATTGTGAATGCTGAATCTCTTACCCGCTCCTGATGCACTAGACACTAAAAGCCTGACTTGCAAGTATAGTATTACATTGTATTTGTGGCGATAGTAGTAGGAAAAAAAAGCTATTTGTAAATAAGTCTAACATGGAATTGATTAATTTGGAGTGGAGTATGAAATCTGAAACACTTCTAGTATAGGAAAAGTAATTTCTCATGTAAATTGGAACCTGTCTTAAGCATGTAGTTCAGGCAAGTCTTCTGCTAAGGTAGGCTTGATTCTGCATGACCTTTGCAGTCATGCCTGTGTGTAAGGAAAAGAATTGCCTGGTTTATCCCCAGCTAGTCCCTTTTTCGGTTGTTAGTTACTGCCGCAGGACCCAAGGCAGCAGAAGGAGAAGCACAGAATATGGTCCGGATACACAAAGAGGAAGATGGCCTGAATCATTTTTTGCCAGTTCTTTAGTGTCTTCTAGGCCGCTTAATTCCCTCTCCATGTGGTGGACTCGAGGGAAAATGGGGAGCAATTTGCATATTTGTTTTAAACTTTTCTTTGCTTTCATACAAAGTTTTACAATTTTGTAATGATCTCTGGATTCTTACATTTTTTAATTCAGCATCCAATTTTTTAACCTGAATCTAATTATAAAATGTAGGTGTTTAATTTTCCAGTAATGTGAAGCCATGCTTTTCAAATTTGTTTTATTAGCTTAATAACATACCTGAATTATAGAGTCATAGTCCTCCCTTTTTCTGTGTCTGGGCAATTGTTCTCTGGGCCAGAAGCAGTGTGATGCTCTCATCTGAACCTGTGATAAAAGCTTCTGCGGGGAAGCTGCACTCCCACTGGGATGTTATGGGGGAGATTTCTGTCATATGTATAATGTTTTTAATATAGTAACTAGAAATTGTCTAAACCCGTTTTCCTTTCCTTGTTTTAGAGTGAAGGCACTTGTGATGCATGTTTATTCATGCTTACATATGTAAGCTGGTTAATTAGCTTATTTTGTTCCCAATGTTTGATACGTTAACATCTAGTCTGGAATGGGATTTATCCCTTTTACATGCTGTGGAGCAGTGGTTCACCAGGACTTCACAGTTCTGTACGTGTAGAGAGCGAGCCGCTCAGAACGCTGTTCTGAGCGAGTTACTCTCCTGACCCTGTCAGGGAGAGTCAGCCTGGTATCAGCCAGGCTCTCCCTGAGCTGCTGCTTTGTGCGCTGAGCGTTCAAAGCCAGCTGTAAAGCACTGTGTGGATTTGCAGTTTCAATGATCGTAAAGGCTCTCTTATAGCTGTGATAATAAAGGTTATTTTCTTTTGAATATTTTGGTTTGCTCTATATCCCTATAAATGTGCTTCATGGGATTATTTTTATGTGGGTTTTATATGTTTTCCTGTTTTAAGGAAATAGCTAATCCTCTTACCCTTTTTTTAAAAAGAAGCCCAAACTGTCTGTGATGCTGCATAAATCTAGCAGCAGTGGAATTTGGGGATTAATCCACAGGTCTAGACTAAATAGTCGGTTTTAGTGTCGTGAAGATTGTGTTTGGGCATCAATTCAATATCCAAGACTCCAAGGTTAAACTTCTGTATTCTGAATATGCTCTTGCTTTCGTAGGTGCAGTGGTAAATGTTCATCTTCTGATGTGTGGCTGTCATGTGATTTTTTGTTTCATGTGCATTTGGAAATCTCGTTTTCCCTTTGGGTTTGCGTTTTATCATGATGCTAAGTTTATGCAAGTGATTACTATATGTATTAAATCTCTGCCAGTCAAATGCAGAAAGGTTTGATCTAAGATGAACATAGAGCTATTTTAGAAAAAAAAACAATTGGACCGTACAGCACTTGTACCAGGAAAACTGATCTTTTTTGTTTTTCAGCGTATAGTGCCTTTGCTTGTAGTTGGTGTCTTTATTGTGGGAATATACAGCCTAGTTTTGCAAATATGCTATCACCCGGTGAAGAACTGTGTGTGGCGGGGTGCACCAGTGTTGCTGTAGTAGCAACATTTTTCCTAACCTGTGTGGACACATAGGCATGTCCTTCAGTTTTGAAAGCAGTGGGAAAGTTTTGTATTTCACTGTGGATGACTTTTGAATTTGAATTCAGTTAAATTTTCTTTAAAGATAAAACTCCTGAATTCAACAGCAAAGGGCTATAATTGTTATGGAAAAAAGTGGAACCTTGAGGTGTTTCTTTTTTGGTCTTATGAAGTACTCCAAGAAACAGTTGCTACACTATGGCTTATCCATAATTTTAAATACAAAAATGCCTAAATACTTGTTTTGGTGATACCTGGATCACTAGCTGATCAAAAATGGTTTGACCGGTGCAGAAGTATACCTTGTTCAAGAGTGATACAGCTATAAAGTGAGATATCATAACATATGCTGTTAACTTTGAGGTACAAAACAGAGATAAAGCTGTATCTTAAGTTATTGGTCTAAATAAGGCTGGTTTGGCTTAGATTGGTATTTTTCTGGATTTGCATCAATTTAAGTTGGTAATGCAGGAATTTGTTAGTTTTCAGTTTAAATAATTGGCCTGTTCAGTGACTTTATCCATGTTTAAAAGTGTTACGAAATAATTCTTCCAAATCACTTTTTTCTTTCAGGCAAGTCCTAAGATGCACTTTATTTCTGTGCTTCGCAGAGTTATCAATAGTCTGTTACCAAAGGCACTGATTTGCATTTGAGATATAAAAACATGTTTAAGTGCACTTTTTTTAATACTTCTACTTGTATTTTCCTGACATATCAAAAAATAACATTTTTTTAATATCTTGTCTCAGAGAATTGTACTGCTCACAGGTGCAAAATTTTCTTTCTTATTTGTGTGGGTTGCCACCGCTAAAACCTCAGGCTTCTTTAACATTAAAGAAACCCACATTGACCTCTAAGCATTTTGAAAAATAAATATGAGCATCTTGCTTAATACTGTTATTAACTTACACTTTGCTTGCTTTTCAGGAACTTGAAGAAATCCGCAAATGTGGAATGAAAAACTTCCGTAATATCCAGGTTGATGAAGCTAATTTATTGACCTGGCAAGGGCTTATTGTTCCTGTGAGTATAGACTACTCCTTATTCTATTGAGCTTTAAAATAAAATGACGATCATTTGTATCTCATAAATCCACAGTTTAATAGTGCTGCTGGTGACCATTAGACAAGAATCTCTATTATTATTATAAAACCTGGCTTTCAGAGTTGTGGGTTTGTACAAAAGCTAGTCGTTTATAAATACAACTTAAGTTTGTATAGATTATACTGCAGCATCTTAAACATGCTCTGGGTGGTGAAGTGTGGTCCTGGATTTAATTCTTGTCTCTCTTCAGACATCTTGTGTAATCTTGGTCAAATAGTGTAATCTTCGTGTCTCATTTTATTTGAGCGTCTTCTGTGTTTTGTTTTATCGAAGTCTGATAACGTTAGTAGGTGTTTCTTATAACTAGTGTGAAGAAAAATCCATACGTAATTGAAAGGTGTTCTAGACTTCTCTGATCAATACCTGCCTGGATGCTTCATAATCGTAGGCCTAGTCCAACACATGGCTGCAGCTGGCGAGGGCTGTGGACTCAGTGATGGCACTGGGTTACTTGGGAGAGGTGTTGGAACGGGGAAGCAAATGAAGTTTGTAGTTTATTACATTAAGCTAAAAGTACAAAATCTATGTTATCATAGGAAAAAGCCTGAGGTATGAAATATTTTGTTTACTCCTTAATAGATTTTTTTTTTTAATCGACTAGATTTATTTCTGGGATAAAGTTGAGTATTAGAAAAAGTTTGATGCAAGGAAAAGGTTTGGATTTTCAGAAGTGAGCTCTTTAAAAGTAAGTCTCTTTATTTAGGCATTAATTAATGCAAAAAAACCCCAACACTTTGATTTTTTAAAAGCATTACAATCTTTTAAGAGAATGTTTAATAGAAGTAGATAACCACTGTATTATCAAACAGAGAGGGATTTGCTAATAAGGGGAAAGCAGGAAATCTAGTATTTTGAATTCCTTGGTTGAAAGTCACTTGGATTTTCACCTCCTTTATTTTCCACTGCCATAGCTCATGCTCCCTTTGTTACATGAGCTACTTTTAAGTCTGCAGGAATAGAGGCTGTGCCACTAGGGCATCAGTTGTGCTTTTCCTTGGGTGCTACCAAAAAAGTCCCCTGACCAGTGTAAATCTGTCTTTTTATTGTAAGACTTTGAAACTTCTCTTTAGCAGTGCCTCTGCTTTGTTAGTTTCCCGAATTCAGATCGCACAGGCTGAGATAATGGCTAGGCCTTTGCACTTTAAATACTGTAGAATACATTTAGTTTACTGTTTATATTCCTGCAGGTAATTCCTTTGAGTGGTTGAGGCTACTCTTGCAAATAAAGCAAGCAGGATTTGACATTAAAATTTGACAGAGCTGAGAAACAATAAGCTTTAATAAGCCACTCTGGTATTTGTGGTTCGTGTATAACAGTTTACTGCTTTGATAATACTTTGAAGCAGTATAAGGTTGGTAAATATGACTAATAAAGCAAAACACCAAAATACTTGTTCATTCCTGTTAAAATAAGCAATATGTGGTGTACAGCATCTATTTTTAACAGTTTCTGTTCACCAGAGTGTGAGCTTAGTGTTTGTTTTGCAAAGGTTCACAACATCTCAAGTGCTTAAACATTGTTGCAGTGAGTTGTGCTTCATGCCTGCTTTTTGTGCCCTGTTAGAAGGGAAATAGCTTTAAATTCACTACAGGTGTATTTCAGAGGGAATTTTGTCATGAAATTATACTTCCTGTAGTAATTAATAAAATGTTGTGTTGTATGTGTTCATGGAGTAGTGTAGTTTATTATTTTAAGGAAGATGCTTTAGTCTTAGCATAGTTTTTTTTAGCTATTGCAATGCTGGAGTTGATGGCTTAAAAATGCAATATACAAGCTGGCTGCAAGTTTAATTTTTTTGCTGAGTTTTTGCTTTTCAAGTTTTACATGCTGTTTCCATTTTAGAAAATGTTCTTGATTAGGGTTTAAAGACATATTACTCATACTTTAGTAGGACTACCCAGTTACTGACTGTTAAACTCTATAACTAGGCATTATTTTGGTCAGCTTCTTAATGAAGGTGTGAAAGATACAAAGGTCAATATTTTTAACAGTGTTCATACAGAATTACTGTGAAAGATACTGCTTTAAAAGTTTTTGTGGTATGTAATATATTTTGTTCCACAGAGCAACTGTTAGTTTTTAAGGGTGTTTGCTCGATTAAGAAGCAGATTGAAGATAGCTTGTCAACTTCTTTTCCTGTTCCAAATTGTAGAATAAGGTACTTCATGTACTGTATGTTGAAAAGGTACACTATTTGTTTGATTTCAACATCAAAATGAGACTGTCTACCCCAGGCTCCTTGCTCTTGCAAGAGATACTGTTGGTATATCATGAATTTCATTTCACTTTATCAAAACTGGTTGCTATGGACAAACTTTTGCAGAGCAAAAATACTCCAGGTGAACACGAGTTGTGTTTGTCGTTTGTGTTTAGTATTTATAATTCTGACTCTCTCCCTTGTCAGTGTCAAATACAACAAATTATTGGAAATAATTGCTTGAATATTCTGTGTTTTGTCTATTTGAAACATAAGCAACCTTTTATATACATTTTTGTTCAATTCATTGGTGAGTAATAGCGAAGAACTGTTCTGACTGAGAGTCAAGCAGAAAATGGACGTTTTTAAGCCAGGTCAGTTCCCGTATCAGTTCACTGAACAGCCTGACAAATTATAGTATGTGATGGAGGTAAGAACAAGTGAGCCATGGGGGGAGAGGGCACTAACTGTTTAAGTTGTCACCACCACCAAAAAGTTATTTGTTAAACTTCTAAAGCCTTTAGGATTGCTTGGATAAAAAATGATTTTAAAGCCACTCTAGTTACCTCTTCCTTTGACTGCAAAAATTATGCTGTATTTCTTAGAAACACGCGACCAGACTTCTCCATATGGATGAAACTAAAATTAAATGTTTTCTGTGGAATAATATTTTAATAGAACACTCCCCACCCCCAAATATTGGTAAACCTTTTTTAACTTCTGGAGTGGGTTTGATTGCAGGGAATGGTCTGGTTGCTAATGAAGAATATGTGTGATTATACTTTACACCAACTGGAAACTCTCAGCCTTTGATTCTTGTTCCCAAGAAAGTGTTTGGAAAGGCTTCATGCCATGGTTACTGTTTTCAATGCAGAATGGTATTTTCATAAGCTTTAAATGTAGCAATGGTTTCTTTTTTCTTTTGCCTTTCTTCTGCAGTTAGTTTTTGAAGCAGTATCAATAATCTCACAGGTTTTCTAGATGAGATTCTGGGCACTGTTTTCTTTCTGTTTCAGCATGAAGAACTACTATGCTTACTTCAGGGTTCTCTCATCATGCTCCTTCAAAAATGAACTGATAAGAGTGGGTGCTAAAACTGCATACACATTCAGAATGTTCTCATCAGGAGACGCAGTGAATATCTATCTTTAGTACCAATGAATGCTCAGCAGATTTTTGTGTAGTCAGCACAAAAATGTTCTTGGAACCTACAGGGAAATCTGACAAATCAAATTGCTTTGCTGTTTGTGCCACCATGTTGTGAGACACATAAAATAACTAAGTTCAGAGAAACCAGTTTTCCTTGTCAGGCTTCCTGTTTGTATCTCGGAAAGGATTTACAATGTTTTTTGAAATACAAAGTTGGGAATAAAATTTATTAGATAGGACCTTGAGCTTGAAGGAAGTAGGATTGGATGCTTTCTTACCAGTAGAAATGTCAGAACAATGGTAATCTGCTTCTTCCAGGGTGAATACAAACGTTGTAAAGGCTGTATTGCCTCTCTCTTACCAAATAGGTTTTGATGTTTCCTGACACATAGGCATGGCAGTATGTGTTGGAAAAAAGTGCCTTTAAAAGAGGTCATTTGAAAGATTGAAGTGTGGACCGTGCTTTTTCTTAATTGTATCCATTAGAATATGCCAGATTCTTGACATTCTATCTTCTTGTTGCAGGACAATCCTCCGTATGATAAAGGAGCCTTCAGAATCGAAATCAACTTCCCAGCAGAATATCCATTCAAACCTCCTAAGATTACATTTAAAACAAAGATCTATCACCCTAACATCGATGAAAAGGGGCAGGTTTGTCTGCCAGTAATTAGTGCTGAAAACTGGAAGCCAGCAACCAAAACTGACCAAGGTAGGACTCCATGTGGAGAAAGAGCTGGATATCGAGAAACTTTGTATTGTGTTTAAATTTAAAGCTAATAGTGTTTCAGCTTGTCAGCTGGTCACTGCTCTTATGGTATATTCATTGTCATAAGGTTTGTGTCATGAATCACATGTTGTGAGCACAGTGTGCAACTCTTTTGGAATCTCGTTTTGTTATTGGAACGTAAGGTAATGATGCTAACGCATGGCATGTCCACCTCCAGGAAACCACAAAACTCTTCGTGACTGAAGAGTTTATTAAGGTAGTGTCCTCGGCATACTTAAAAATTCTGGTGGTAGTTTGTGTGGGGGTTATTTTGTTAAACAGTGACTTTATAATCCAGAGGTGTTTGAAAGAAGGGGTCCAAAACCTCAAGGCTTTGTATATTTTATAATCTCTGCCATGTGGTTTAGTGATTTGAACATATGGTTTGAGATCTCTAGGGGGGTCATAAACAAAACCTGAAATCATAACACAAATTAACCTCTAGTTCTTAAAAGATCACTGCTGTAAGGCTTACTGTGTAGAGTCTCTTTGGATAAGAATTTAAATATTTTAAGGAAAAAAGTTTCATCAGGTTCTGTGGCAGACTGAGAGTGTGATCCGAGTAGGTTTTTTCTGTTGTTGTTGCTTCCATTAGTTGTTGGGGTGAGAATTTCATGTTTTCTGGCAGGTAATGATTAGTTTGATGTTAAGCATTTATTATTGTACCTATAGAAAGAGCAAACATCCTTGCAAAACTGCATATTTTTTAATAATATTAATTCAGATGAATAGCAGTTTAGTCCAGTGCAAGAGCTTCAGTGACACTGAAGTATCCTGCTCTGTAGGAGAAAGTATTTCCTTCTTCCAGACTCTTCTTTAAGGTTGTTTTCACTTGGAACTGTGTTCCTTAAGTACAATGCTGTAATTAAGATTTCTTTTTTCTGTGTACTTCTGTATGCTAATAAAACTCTTACAGTTTGCATGATTTTGCCCCAAAGACAAAATAGGAAAATTCCTGTAGTTGTTTTGGAGAAGATCAAGCAGTTGAATGTTGGGGAAAATGGAGGTGGCAGCAAAAAGAACCTATTAAACTCAAATAGGTCAGTGAAGATCTTACGATTTGTTGTTGATTTATCCCAGATTATACAGGACAAAGATCCTTGGGAGAGGTGAAATGGAAACAATGTGTAGAAGGTTTCTGTTAACACCTTAGCAGTTGTCTTAATCTTATGAGCCTTCTCTAGTTAAGTAACGGAACAGCATGTCTCTACCTAGCTTGCAACGCAAATTGGTGTTAGTTGGAACTATTGAAGCAATCGTTTGCATGCAGGAAGTAGTCAGTGTCTCCCTGAGAAGTATCAATTCCCCTTTTATCCGAGAGTGTGAATAAAAACTATGCTAAAATCAGAATTTGGAACAAACCCTGGATACCAATTGCAAATCTCACAATTTCTGCTGTTTTGTGGTCTTCGTTTGTCTTTTAACTCTTTCTTCAAGAAGTCGTTTTGCTGTCAACGTCTGTTGTTACTACATCATTGTATGAACCTGCAATGTTATTGCAGCCATGCTTCAGTGTCTATTCCTTTTTCTCCAGAACTCTTCTGCAGTGAAAAACAAACTTCAGTCTGTTTGCTACTTGGGCCTTTCTCAAGGAAATAATGCAGCATTATTAGTACAGCATCAAAGTGATTCGTTTTTATCAGTCAGGTGTCAAGAAAGCGGAGAGATTAGGTTAATCATAAATCATTAACTCACCTTTCATGTACTAAAAGTGCATCTTAATGCTGTACTTGTTATTAATTTATGCTTAATATTAAAACAGACTGTTGTGACAGTATAGCTTTAAAATGCTGTGGATATTGAAGCAACTCCTGTTATGACAATCCTAATTTTTTCTGGCTTGTGTGTTAAATAACCTTAATAACATAACACAGTAGCACTTTCTCTGTAGTATTTTAGCGTGTGTTACTGAGTGAAAAGGAATTGTCATGTGCAGTATTCATGCTAGTTTTGTACGTACTCATTAATATGATGACAGTTGTCATAAGTCCAGGACTGGTAAGTTCCTGTGAAGTAAGCTAATACCAATTCTACATTCCTTAGATAGTTTGTTGCAGTTTAAACTCTGATTTGTGGTAAGAAATGTTGCTGTTTAGCAATATAGCAACAGGCGTACTTCTCTGGATTTTGAGTATTTGTTTTGAGGCATGTTCCCCATTCCTATCAGGTAAGGGTGGAAAAGAGTATGAGCATGAAAAGATTGATGCTCTGAAAGAAGCCACTCTGGTATTCTAGCATCTACTGGAGTGGTAAGTATTGTAAGAACTTACATTGCAAAACTAGGGAGAATCCAGTTAAACTGTAAGTAGCAGTTTCAGAAATGATAGACTGACTTTTCGTGCAACATGTAGCTGAGCTGTGGAAGTCCCTGTTGCTGGATGGTGTAGGTGTCAGTATTTTATGTGAGTTCAGGAGGAGGCAGCTGGCTCTAGTGTGCAATGCATGAAGGTAACACAGTTTTGTTATACTTCCTTTAAAAACTCTTGGGGTGCTGCTTTCTATTACTCTGGGTAACCCAAACTTACCTCAAATGGAATATTATTAATATTGTTGCACAGTGAAATGCTTTTTCTGTGTACCTGCTTCCTGTAGACTTGCCCAGTTACGCATATACCTGTTAGTGGATGGATATGAGAACTGATCGTTGTGATCTAGCTAGCTTTAAATGGTCATGAGAATGTATATGAGGAAAATGTAGCAATAAATGTCATTGTAGTATGCGAGGCTCACTGCGTAAATGTCAAGTACAGTTCAGTTATTTTAAGAATGACATTTCCTGTGAAAGTGATAGGGGAACGTTGACAAAATGGCTGTAAACAGTGGGGTGAAAAGCATCTTGCAGTTCTTATGCATTTGTTTGCCCGGTGTATCTCTACTAGTGCATGTAGTTGGCAGTTCAGAATAAAGGGAAGAATTGTCTGCTGTTTATAGGGAAAGTAAGAGTCATAGAAAAATAAAGCTGAAAAAAATGGTTTCCAAAAGCAGGCCCAGTTACAACTGCATCATTGTGACAGGTGTTAGGAAAAAATGTTTCATGATGGAAATTCCATCTTTACCCAATTTCTTTTAGATGAACTTGTCTGTGAAACTTAGTTTCGTTCTTAGCCATAGGAGAGTATTTCAGATAGGATGCCAGTTACATGGGAAATGCATTTTAGTCTCTGTTCAAGTTGATTTGTTTACAAATACGATTTTCTCGTGTTCATTCACGGTCATTGAACTAACTCTTGGCATATTGCTATAGCTTATTCATGCTTTGCTTTTGAAAAGACCCTAGATTTATGGGGATGTATTTAAATGCAGTTAAAGCTCTTTTCTTACTGAGGAATTTTGCTTACGTTTCGATTTTTAAAAATTAACCATCTTAGTCTCTGACGGTATTTATACTTCTTTTGACAGTAATCCAGTCCCTCATAGCACTGGTGAATGATCCACAGCCCGAGCATCCCCTTCGGGCTGACCTAGCTGAAGAATACTCTAAGGACCGTAAAAAATTCTGTAAGAACGCTGAAGAGTTTACAAAGAAATATGGTGAAAAGCGACCAGTGGACTAAAATCTGACACAATTGATGTCAGCAACATATGATAGAAGATCGGAGCAGTGCATTTGAGACACCCCGTAAAGCAGGACTCTATGGAAATTGACAAGTGCCACCTTTCGGTGTTAACTTGTGGCTGTTACTAACTTTCTACAGTTTTCTTAATCAAAAGTGGGCTAGGTAACCTGTAAAGAAAGGATTAAAATTTAAGATGTTCTAGTTCTGCTTTCTTTGTTTAAAAATCACTGCTTCAATATACTTTAAAGTATGCTGTTTTCTTTTTCTTGTCAGAATTTATCAAAAATATCTTAGACTTATATTCTGCCCTTAAATTGAAAAGGTTGTGGCTGTCATTTCTTATTTTTTCTTGCAGTTCCCACTATCCTGAGTTCATTTAATTCTTCATTGAATTTTATCCCCCTCCCCAAACTGATGTCTTAGAAAAAATATCCCAGTTCTGGCAGAAAACGATTGAGTGTTTGGCAGTTTTGTTTACTTTTCTTTTTAATGTTGCACTGTGCTTTGTGGGACTTGTTGCAAGTTCCCCTTAACTTCAGTTTGTAACATAATAAACAAAAAACAAACAAACCCCACAAAAACAATCAGAAATAATGTCCAGGTCTTATGTAAATCTGGCTGATGTTACCACAAAATGTTTATTAAACGGGGAAACCCAAGTTTTTGTGTGCGTCATTGAATTAAAATATGGCTTATGTCCTGCTTTTGGAAAACTTTGGAAAAAAAAAAAAATTCTGTAGCAAATGAGTAGTGGAATGTGATGACAAACTTCTTTCACTTCTGTTCTTAATACCTATGCAGAGTAGCTAGGAAAATGTGCACAGAACAACATTGCAACCAGTTTAGAAGAGTTTCAGAAATTGGGGACCAAGAGGTACCAAAGTTGATAAACTGGTTTTTGAGCTAAAAATCGGTATTTTGGAAATGTTAATTTCGAATTCAAGTACTAAATCTGACAGCACTGCTAGTCATCTTAGAACATTTTTCCGTCGGAATGTGTAAAAACAGCTGGCTTTTATGGGATGGTACTCGTGCCACTTCCCAGCCCAATTGCTGTACAGTTCTTACCAAAAATGGTATGAGAAGAGGATTAAGCAATAACCTGTAATAGAGTACGCTTCACTACTACTGTTCCTATGATCTCAAAATACACAGGTTAGATGATTTAATGAGTACTTCAAGTATCATTCTATCATTCTAACTCAATCAGGCAGAGCTGTTTTCCCGTTGCTCCAGGGCACACCTACGCGTGCTGAAGGAAGCCCTTTCTGTTCAGAATTGAGCATCCTTTACTGTGTCTCTGCTTTCTCCCAACTGCCTGTCTTTTTTCCCATATAAAGTGTGATCATAGCTCCACAGTCAAACTGCCATACAGTCAAACTGCTGTCTCTTCCCCGCCTGTCAAACTTGGGTATGTTACTGAGCAAACAGATTTATCTCCAGAAATTCTTAGGTACCTGGGAGTACATATCATTTTGATGCGCAGGAAGTTGAGTTAGAAGATCCCTCACCCAGATGGTTGTCTGTACTCCTAAATTCAGTTTTAATACAGCCTCTGCCTTTGCAACCTGTCAGAACTAGTGTGTCAAGCGGTAGGTCTCTTTTGGTTTTAATGTCTTGTATATTTGCTATTTCTTCATTCATCCCTCTCATCCAGCTTTCATTTCCGATTTAGTGTAAACAATGACAGCCCAGTACCTCACCTCTGTTGAAAGTAAATTTTTTTATAAGTTAGGGAGCTAAGAAATTTTATGTTTAAGTGTTCTTAGACAGATTCTTTGGCAGGTAAATAAAGCTAAACCACATTCACCTTATTTACGGAAACTTGCATTTCCTAAGTGTTTTCAGGCTTGTGAGAGCACTGTCTATTACCAAATTTTCACATCTTTGTGTCTTCATTTGCAGAAAGTTGGTACTGATTTTGTTTCATTCACGTTCACTCGGATTCATAATAAAATAATGCCAAATTATCTGTCAAACTGAAGTGTGTGTAACTTCTGCATCACATGAGTTACTGTACCTTTTGATCATGTCTGTTGGCATGGAAACTTGCCATTCTCTAAATTTTCTTTTTATTTAAAACAAAACTGTAGCACTAGTTTGCTGCCCTCGTTGCTACTAAATGGTGTACTTTCTGGTTGTAAGCCTCTCAGGTCAAAGACTGCATTTATTTGAATCGGTGTGACTTGGATGCCGTTGAAAGGGAACTGGAAGGGCTGTGTAATTCAAGGAACTCCAGTCGATTCATACAGGCCTACAGCAGCGCCATACCAGCTGTTCCGATTTCATCTGTAAAGGTCACATAGAAGACAGATATTGCTATCGGTTCTCTTTGTGTGCTCTTCATAGTTCAATTTCTAAACTACAAGATGTGTAACATAAGTGATGGCTTTTATTTGTAGGCAGCCCTCTGAAAAAAGACTGAGATCAAATCCTGTACTGTATGGTTGAAGTCTGAGGAGAAAAAAAATCAAAGTACGAAGCCCTGCGTTAACTCAGGAAATCAAGCTCTTTTTCTCTCTGGTTCCCTAAGCCATGCTGAATTCTAAACGTGCAGTTTAATATCCAAAATAAAAACAGCGTACTGGTGAAACTACACCCAGGAGTACTGGTATAGGCTTTCTGCAATTCCATTCTGCTACCCTAATAAAAATTGCTCTCAAAGGCTTTGTGGCATGGTTTTATTTTCAGAGAGATCTGGGGTTTAGACTTCTTTTTTTAAGTATCCTGGTACAATGACATTCGTAGGTAGTGGTCTGAATGTGGTTTTAATTTGAACTCAGTGTTGTCTTTAAAGCTTTCATAGAACCACTGAGAAACTTCCTTATCTCCGTATGTTTTATGCAATTGAAAGGTTCCTTATTTAGAAGTCTTTTAGTAGTTCTTTATTTATTTCTCCATTTAAAGCTCCCTTGAATTTAAAAGAAAATTTGGGGTTTAATTCTGTTCATTTAAAAATCTGTAATTTGCAAAATGTATTTTTTTTTCTTTGCAATACAGAACTAACTCAGGTAAGACTGCCATTGTGTTTGCAGTGTTCAGCTAGCAGAAAATGCATACAGCAGTCAACAGGTGTGTAATGTCCTGAGGATTGTGATCAGAGCAAATTCATCGGTTAGAATATGGAGCAATTTAAACGTTAAAAAAAAATCCATCAAAATTCGGTCACATTACATAAAAAGCTGAGATCTGGTATTAAATAACTGGTGTTGCTGTCAGGCTTATCCCTGCATGTGACTAAAATACCATCGGTCACTAGATGGCACTCACAGGTCTAACTGCGCTCTGGAACTTCAGCCGCTTTCTGCAGTCTAATATCTCTTGGGTTTTTTTATTCTCTGTTATCACACAGCAGGAACTTTGCCATCCAACACCGATGGGACAAGCTTCAGAAACTGAGTCATTCCAAAAGGTAACTGCTGCTCTCATCTGACTCGACTGTTTGGTGTAGCACTTGCACAGTACAGGGGATGGGTTTTTTAAAAACAAACCTGTCATATATCAAACTAATTATGTGACAATAATTTAGGAAAGAACCTGGAAAAATATTTTCTAAAGCATCCTTGATGTTGTTTTTCATATTTGTACAGAACAAAAACTTCCTCAAATGTTTTAGAGGGAAGGTCAAACGGTTCCTGTTAATGATAGAAAAAGACGTCCTTTCAGCACTCTGCAGGCACTGAGAGCAGATAGGTGAGTGGGTTTAGTTTGCTTTCCAGCTATAACTAAAACCAGAAGCCTCCTGAAGCATTACAATAGAAAAAGGCCTGAGTTTATTTTTCACTTAAAAGAATGATCATATTGAAATTTTTAATATTAGAAAAATGGTTAACCAAAAATGATTACGTTAAATAGATCACTTCTGCACAGAAAATGAGCATAAACAATTTAAAATTTTTTTTCCCACGTGAAAGTTACACATGAGTGACAGGGCTGCAGTTAAGAACGCAGTTAAACATATTAGTATTACTAGGGCTTGTTGAAGTTCGAATGCTTTGATGACAGGAATAAAAATGGACAAATACAAGGACCTTCTCCACTTGAAAACTTGCTCCTAATTGGTACATAGCCACGCATTTTTCACGAGAGGCGTTGGGCAGTGCAGGAGCAGTTGCTGGTGAGCTCTCATATGCAGCAGTTACTGAAATAGCAGATGGGTCAACAGTTGCTGTTCTTGCAAAGTCATCAAAAAAAAAAAAAAAAAGGGAAGAAAAGCCTCTCTGAGGGGGCTGTGGCTGATGTTACTTTCCTACAGTGGCTTAATGCCAAGAGGCAATGTAAATAGGAAGAGCCGTAATTACTGCTGGCTGAGGCTGTACATGGAATATGGCTGCAGACACTACCATGTTAAACTGACTGCTCTGACCAGAGAAGTGCCCTGAAGTAACGTAACGTGCCCCTGTGCCCCTCGCCATCAATGGGCAGGCACGAGTGGAGGGGAAGGGACCATGACTGGGTGCTTTAAGAAAACCAAATGCTGAAGGTTTTCAGACACCCCGTGGGCAACCTACACCAAGCGGTTTCTCCAAAGCAGCACTTGCTCCCCAGAATCTTTCTTTTTTTTGCAGTTAAGTCCAAAAAGAGAAATTATCAGAACCCTCAAGGGTGCTAGGGTGCTGCTTGGTCTCACAGCAAAGCCTGTCTTCGTGCTGCTCGCCATCGTGTTGGCAGGAACTGAGCGCTGGGAGGAGGGCTGGGCCTTGGCTGCCACGCTGCACTGGAATGGTGTGCAAGTGGGTGACGCAGAAGAGGTTTGTCACATTCAAAGCAGATGCTGTGGCCTAAGAACTGCCAGTCAGGGCTCTGGGGTACTGCCTGTAGCTGCTCACAGGGTGTTGCTCTTCCATGAACATCCTCATGCTGTTCCCAGCTCCTGTCAGCTGTACCAGGAGGTATTACGCTGGTAACAGTGGTCTGGCTTCTTGGGACATAGCAACTGCGTATCTTCAGAGTATGAATAAATGTATATATGTATGCTTGTTTACTTAAAGATCTTTGAATGAGCAAAGCTGAATGTTCCTGGTTTTGTAATGGCTCTGCAGCTCTGGTTTAATTAACGTCTGGAGTTCATGGAGGCGCTCCCAGGACTGTGAGAAATCATCTGGTCCTTCCCCACAGCCGCCGACGGGTGGGACACTCGGGTACCCCGGATGCACCATCAGCTCAATCGTTACTGTCCTGCTCTGTAGCATCGGGTTTGCGGGCGAGGGCGCCTTGGACATGGACTCCACGATGGCAGTGTCGATGGCGCTCCAGATGTTACTGACAGACATGTTCTTGCCCATGGTACTCAAACCTATGTAAATGTCTGGCCACCTGTAGCCAGAGGAGGGAACACTGATGTTAATGCTAACAAGGTAGTTAGAAAAGAGTGTGTTACATCCAGTAGATTAGGAATCAAAATATACCTAAAACTTAAGATAGAAAAGGGGGAGGGTTAAAACTTTTAACTATAAACAAAAGTAAAACCAGAACTACAAGCCAGTAATGCTTTTTCTTTCCTTATCGAAGCCAGGATACTATTTAAAGCAGCAGTTCTTCAGTCTGACAGAAAGTCCCAGCAAAGCCCCAGTACTGCTGTTATTACTGTATTTATGTGTACTGTGTCACAGCACAAGCATTGTTTGGCATCTGTGAGCTTATAGATGCATTTTGTTGG